TATTTTCAAAAAATTTGATAAATTTTGAATTACGTGTTATCCTTATATCCTAGCCTAATTGAAAGTTCAAGTTTGTTTTCTTACTTAACTTTTATCTTATCTCTTATACCTTTTTGTGTATAAGCTAGTTTAATATAAAAATACATAATTAGCTTACGAGCTGAGGGAATAAGAGGGCTACCATGGATGGAATAGCCTAGAAGTATACAGTTAAATCTTACACAATTTGGATCTTGTATAGTCACTAAGTAATTAAATATTAATCAATAGATGTTGATTTAAACTATGAATTATTTTTACACGCACGTACTGCGAAGACCTGTATATCGTCGTCGTTCCTATTCATACATGTTTAAATCAAATTTCTAATTAAAATAAATACTTTTTTTCATATCTTCTATGTTAAAACGAATTAAAGTCGCAACAGAACAAGACATTTTGGCAATAGTAATCAGCCTCTTTGGTTTTAAAGCCCTGATATTGCTTTTCGTGTTATCAACGGAACAGCACTGAAATTTAAAACTAAAATAATCTTTCAAATAATGCGTTGACAAATACGTATTCAAATTAAATACATACATTTATCGAATGTGGCGCGCGAACGGAAATATTTCAAGAGTTGTTCATTGAAACTTTTCAAGAAATATCGCCTATGCTTTCAATTTTCAATATTCAAAGAATACGTCGCGCGCGCGCGCACGCGCGCTCTTCAATAGCCTTTTTTTTCTTTTTAACTTTTTTGGACCAATTTGACACACTTACGCAGAGTCGCGAATCTATATAGATTTGCTCCGTTAGTATGCGAGCATAATTTGAAAAGTATTATTTAGGATGTTACGTGACGCTCATTTTATAAATGTGGTACAAACGAAGAAACAGAATGTTGTACATTTGAGAAATTATAAAGACTTAAGCATTTGTGTTGCCGTTACTCCCGTATAAGCTGGGATGTACATACTTATCATGCAATGTCCTTAAATGCCTTAGTAAATTACTTTTCACGTTGAAGCCTTTTTTACAATAGGAACAAAGAAAAGGCTTTTCCCCCGTATGTGTTCTTTGGTGGATTACCATCGACGCATGACTTGGGAATTCTTTTTGACATATGTTGCACAATTTCTGATGACTGTGAACTCTTTTTGGTTTAGGTGGCGCCGAGTTGTTCATCAAAGCTAATTGCTCCTCCGTGTGTTCCGTTTGTATATGACGTACCCATTCCTGAGGCGTTGAATACATATTACCACAAAGGTCACATTTTAACGGTGGAAAATCTTTGCTGTCGTCATCCACGTCACCCTGAAAACAGTGATCCACATTTAACCACAGTTTCACACATACAAATACTTATTAACACTTTTAAACATTTACCTTCCGTTTTTTCCTCCGATTTTCGGTCATGTCGGCGTGTGTAAATTCAATGTGTCTGACCCAATCCGACGGCCGGTTAAACGTTTGACTACACATGTCACACGTTAACGGTGTATACTCTTCTTCTTCGTCCGCGCTATGTACGATCTCCTGTAAAGAACAGAACTCTGACATCGACCGTATCTTCTACAATGTAATCATAATCTAATATATCACGTACAGGTTTAATATCAATTTCGTGGTCTATCGTCAACGATTCAGACGGATCGATGGTCTCCTCCCAGATCGGTTCGTCTTTCACTAAAAGCTCCAAGTTCAACTCCGTCTGAAATACACATAGAAAAAGGTGAACCACCGCGTAAAACGACAACACGTTCACGGGTCGCCTTACATTTTCGCCGTCCTCGCTCTTAGATTTATTGGATTCTA